TAGCTATAAAGTCCTTATATATAATAATTAGGTTTATTATAACGTTATCTATAGTATAGTATTAATCGTTAAGACTATTATTAAATAATAGCTTAACTTACTACTTTAACTAAGCTAAGCTAATTAATACTTAATAGATATAGTATAAATAGTACTATATTTCTAGACTATACTCTAGGTATATATTCGTAAACCTTTTAGCTAACCTATATATACTATACTTATTATCGTCTAGATAGCTATAATCTAAACTAATAAGAAGAGTAAGATATTTAGAATTCTATTCTATCCTCTAAGAATTCTTAAAGTATCTATAAAGCAAATATAGAGAGTAAGCTAAATTCCTTAATAGAAGATTTTATATTAGTTCTATACTCGACTACCTAGTAGTAAGCGTATACTAGCTACTAGTACTCTATTCCTATATTCGATAGTAAGAGGCTTCTATTTCTCTAAAACTAGATTACTTCTTTATATATTCTAGTAAGCTAAGTAATACTACTACTTAGAGAGATATTCGTAAATCGTAAAGAAGTAGTTAGTACTAAACTTTTTTGACTTATAATAGATATACTATATATACTCCTTTATAGATACGTTACTATAAGTATTATAATTCGGCCTATAAAGTATTATACTATTCCTTTTCTATAACTAGTATTCGAGACTATCTATAGTATATACTACTTTATCTATTTCGGTTAAAGCGCCTAGAATTATATTATAGCTATATATAATCGTAGCTACTACTTCTCTAAGCTCGTTATTACTATTAGGAGTTATAGTAAAGACTATATAGACTACTTTATAGAATATATCTAGTTCCTAGTATAACTTAGCTATAGTCTAGAATTTATTAATAGTAGCTATTTTTAAAGTAGAGATATTATACTTATATTTAGCTAAGTAAACCTTAGTATATAGAATTAGTTCTATACTATAATATACTATATCTATATCCGGAGTTATAGACTTTCTACTATAGTTATATAGATATAGAAACTCTAGTATCTACTAAATAGCTTCTAGATTATCTTTTTCGATTTCTTTAGCTTAGGTATTATTTTTCTCTACTTCTAAGTAGATTACGTTCTTAGCGTCTTCTTATACTATTAGTTAGAGTTTATTACTTTAGTATATTTACGAATTCTTACTTAGAGATAGCTAGAGTACTAACTTTCTATCTTTCTTCTTAATAAGTACTTATAAACTAATAATACCTAGTATATATAATAGCCTTATAGACTTTAAATCGTTTTAGTCTATAAATTATAGTTAGATCTAAATAGTCGCCTTCTTTATATAATCTAGATAGAAATAATACTAGTACGTTAGTAACTAATATACGTTAATAGCTATACTCTTTAAGCGCTTCTTCTATAGCGAGTCTACTTACGTCTATTACATCGAGCCTAAGACTACTATAGATATTATAGCTCTATAGTAATAATATTAACGTCTTATACGCGAAAGTATTAGCGAATATACTAGTAGCCAAGTTAATAGTTAAGACGTTTGCAGAGCTTTTAAAGTATGTTAAGAATTATCGGTTAGCATATAGCTCACTAGAGATAATTTATCAAGCCCCGAAATGCAGTAGCTTGCGTGCTCTTGCGTTATCTGCAATTCGACGCACTTCTGCGGTCTTGATGCGTGAGGGCGAGCAATGTTCATTGGCGATATTGCAAACCCCAGGAGGACCGTCGCCGCCCTCACGCAGATACCCACTTGGCACTATATGCATCATTATGTGCTGCTCTAGGATTGGCTGCTGACCACACCACCGTTGTCGTACAGCTCTCCCCCGGAAACGCGTTGCACGGTATGCGATCTTATGCGCTACGCGCAAGCTTGCTTCCAGCTGGGCGGATTGGAAGACCCACTGGAGTCTCGTATGATCGAAACGAGCCTCCATCGACCGTCAAGGCGTGGGCGCGAGCGCGAACTCCCCTTCGCGGCGTCTTCCTTCACCCTGCCGACGACTTACTCGAACTCGCCGGCTCGCACTTTCTTCACTCACCAAATGGTTCGATCAGAAGGTGGGTTTCTGTCGTGCTAGAGGAGCTTGGCGCAACTGAGGCCAGGCGACCGAGCGTCCCGATCAGGCGAGGGCCACGTGACAATCCTGCATGCGGCTGAGAGCAACGTCGGGCATGCAGGGTCAGAGAATCGATTTCATGGGATCAAAATCTTGTTTACTGGTGCAGTGATAGCAAGACGATTGGGTGTCGCGCTCTCTGCTTATCAACTGCAAGCATGTCGCGTATGCGTGTCATATATGGAGCTGTAGTGTAAAGTGGGCTATTCGACCAAAGGAAGCACTTCCCATTGGTTGGTAGATTCGTCAGAAGCTGCATTTCTATAATATCAGGAAGAGCTGAACTCAACATACTTTACGCTGAGACAACCACTGCAATCATGGGCATGACAAACATACATCGCCCACTACAACTCGTAGAAAGGGCTAAATCATCATGTGCTGTACAGGCCCTCACAACCTCTTGGACAACCGGTGATGGTCATCTCTGGCCCCTGTTCACAGAACGACATCAATGCACATGGGTGGTGTCTTCGCACCACGAATGTTGGTTGTTGGATCGAGCAAGATGGCTCGCTAGAAAGGATCAAAATGACAGATGCAGATGCTGCCGTGAAAGTTCCTCAGATCAGAATCAGTCCTGGACTGGCACCATCGGACGAAGAATATCCTCGCGATTACGTGTTGGTAGTTCAGGGTCTTTCTGGAACCAGGAAAGCCAAAGTACTTGTCGAAGATAGCCTGGAAAAAGCGGCAACCACTATGATGCATGCCGCCTTGAATGGTTATTCCACCGTGTTCTCGGCCGCTTTTCCCCAGCGCTCTCTAGTTGCATTCGAGGCTCGATCGATAGGACCGGGGAATGGCACTTTCAGGAAAGTCGACAGCATTGTGCAAGCGTCCAGCGGCACCGTGGTAGATCTTCTATGCTGAGTGAAGGATAACTTGAGAATGATGCAATGCGATCCGATGCTCACTGCAGTACGATCGAGAGAGTGGAGTTCATGGAAGTTCGCGTTCGTGCTAAGTGGTCATGAATAGTGGCTTGTCCGTAGAACAAGGCGTTTCTCATGATCGTGTAATCCTCGCGATCTACTAAGCTTGTCTATTCACGTATTACACGTCGCTCCATTGCCTCCAGCATCACCCTCTCCCGCAGCAAACCCGGTACCTAGTCTATCTGGACTTCGAAATTGCCTTTGCATGGTATCTTATGCGTTACGTCGGATACAACGCGGTCCGTGGCTGCCACAACGCCACGGTGATTGTTTTGTGGAGAGAGTGTACTGTCTGCCGCCTCGACTGCCTGCCCAACGACCTCATCTCGAGCCATGGTCGTTGTAGCTACTCGCATAAGCTCCTCGTCTATACATTAGACGATAATGTGTGTCTTGTAGAAGAGTTGAAGTGATTGTACGCACTGTAAAATATCGAGCTAGAGAAGGAACGACTGAACGAGAGTATTCGTGCTTCGTGAGCGACAAACGAGGTGCGTGCTCTACACTGGTACTACACTTACGAGCATGTGAGACCTCGCATAACGTGCTTAAATCCCATTGGTCCTCAAAATTATACATGTGAGTTTCTAGGACCTGCACGGTGTATGTGGGAACCTTGCGGGAGCTATTTGACGGTGCCACAGACGACGCGACAAAGCACCCCACGATTCTGCGAGCTGGGAGCGCTGCTGTCTGCTGTGCTTTTCACGAAGAGCTACCCACCATGCTCGATATCGAATAGTGCCTTTGGTCCTGCATTGTGGCTGAGCAGGTGTTGAAGTCTGAATGCACCATGTGAACACTGCATTTCTGAGTCATAGACACTCTGCCACGTGTCATGAACCACGTACACGCGCTTTACATGCTTTGTGTACAATGGTCTGACGACTCCAACGCATGTCCTCGGGGCACAGCAATGCTACGAAGTGGATTGCCTTTGTAAAAGACCACATCATTGTGGCACAACACTATTGTGCTCGTAAAACAGGGAGGTGCAGCTTGTGCGCAGACAGACTTCACGCATGCTGATGCATGCGCTGTTCAAGCCAAGGCAATTTGACGCTAAAATTCCACGCTCCCTTGTAGCCTCAACAGTGCACGCATACTGCACTTAAAATCAATGTCTCGACATTGAATCGAATCATTTCTGGGATAAGAAATCGAGTATTGGCGCAACAGCAGTAGCATCACAAGTTGATTTGATGCGCCCACCCTGACAACCCGAGTTTGCAAAATATCTTACAGGCGTCTGAGTCTGATGATTGCACAACGAAAATGGCTTTCCATGAGCACCGAGGGTTCCGACTCCAGAATATGATGACAGGAGATGACGTTCAAGCTCGTCAAAATCTCTATGGAGCACCAAGCAGATGCTAACTTGTAGCAGGACATGAAGCTTCTCGATAGCGTGCTCGAGCAAGCTCATCAGCTTCGTGCTGGAAGAAAGGGCCTCGTGAAAGGGTCAGTCTACATGCTACAAACCAAATCCGCCAGAGTCAATGCTCGACGAGAGAAGGCTCTAGCAGCATGCCGTATAGATGAAGAATGGCTCACTTTCATCGCTGCGCATGAGCGTGCTTGGACCAACGACCCCAGGGAGTTTTGGGAAGTTCCGAGGAATGCACCCACAACGTACGATGCTAGTGACCCAATCGTTCGTCTGGCCGGCGCCTACACCAACGCCACTTCCACGGGACATTAGTCCCGGATAGTGAAGTGCATGGCCGCAATTTTGCTATATGAGATCAAAAGACAACAAACAGACTTCGACATGCGAGCCATCGCGCATTCGCTACACCGATCTTGCCCGGCAGTGGACGAAGCACAAGCACTGAGTACCTTGGAGCGCATGGAAGACGAGGGTAGCAGACTATTCCACTTAGAGGTAGCCCTTGGACGAGGAGCCATCTTCGTTATCAGTTGTGCCGGAACGGAAATAATGTATGGATCTGATGGGACCACATACGATAGTATACATCCTGACCCTTTCTTAGTGGAAAAAAAGACTTCCGCAAAACAGGGCCCGAATTTGAGCAGGCAGTTGCGAAGTTCCGCGAAGCTGGAGCTACCCAGGCAGCCACTCGTTTCGCGGGTCTTCGTGATGCTTTAGCGGGATCGATGTCGCCAGAACTATGCCTCGGGGCCAGGATATCTGATGATCTACCGTCTAGGATCTGTGTGGAGGGTACTGCGGCAGATCTTGATTGGGATCCGATCTTGTATCGCACTGATGATAATGAGTCCAGCCGCGCTTGGAGTGTTGATTGGACTGCTTAAAGAATTTCGAATGCTCCTCCAATTGTTGGTCATGTTTAGAATCCTGCGTAAATAACGGTTACCAGACATTACCTTGTGCCAGTACACAATTGATGGTCCCTGCGTCTGTGGTGCTCGAACGCAACTCGATAAGCAAGCTGGTATCGTTGATCGGCCAGATGATCCCTAAGAAGTGATCATGCACTCGCTCATGATAGGCGGAGCCGTGGCGTTTCGTGTGCCGCGGCCATTTTGTATGATTTAAATATGAGGACCGGGTTCAAAATTGCGCGCTGAGCATGAACTCCAACGACCACTTGCACCGTCGCTGTTCGATTTCCCGGACTCAGCATCGTATCAAGGCCGGAACCAATTCAAACAAACCTAGGCTTTCGAAACGTCCTGACCCGACCAGAACATGTTCTATTCTTGCTGTGGCTCAGGCTTTCCGGACTGGTCTTCATTGAATCAACACATCGGTAACGCACTACCACATCGTTCGTGCAAAAGATGTTGTGAAGGATTTCAATCGTTAGGTTCGCTGAGAGAGCACCTACATAAGTCGCGGAACCATCATGGGAATGACCATAGCTCTCGGGCTGCCACTGCACCGGTCCAAAACGCTACACCAGCCTTTGAAACGCCTGCTGTGCTTGTAATGGACGCACTGCCATATTCTGGAATCCCGGCGCATAAAATAAAGATCATCTTCCAAGCTGCATGCGCACGCCGACATCGAAATCCTCAGATAGAAGACATCATTCGAACGACGGGAACCGACGTGGATCGGGAAGTGGTTTCTGCGATCCTCGAAGGTGCTCTGCGTCTCCTGCCCCCTGATCGTTCTGAAGAGGGCGACTCCTTGCGACGCGAGAAAGAGGCCATAAGAGCGGCACATGCGAACGCAGCCGAGCATTCGTTCGTCCAGGCTATTAAAGAATGTTACCAAGGAGGCATGAGGGACGAGTCTCAGCAGAAAAAGGACATTCGTCAGGCTATAGATAATGGGGTGGAGAATATTATCAATTTGACACCAGACATCATGTTTGACACTCCCGCAGAGTTCAACGGCAAGCAAATCTGTTGGATGGAATTCAAGAACACCTTTGGTTTCAGGAAGAATCCTTTCATCCACAGAAAACATATCAAGCAGGTGAAAAGATACAGAGATGCTCTGGGTCCTGGCGTAATTGTGTATAGGCTCGGCTACGAGCAGAACCTTTTCCAAATCGAGGGAGTGGGATGCTATCGAGAGACCGACGTCCTTTCAGCGATCGGCAAAGGGGTCAGTGCATAGTACAGCCTATATGGACTGCAGAATATACTGTTAAGAGACTAGCATAGTGAAGTCGCGTAAAACCGATGACTGAAGTTCACGATGTGAACATCGTTAAAGATTCGTATATTGAGCAGCGTTGTGCTATTGTCGACGTGGTCAGTGAGCACGCAGATAGGTAGCAAGTCGGACATAGAAAGCATCTAAAAAAACGAAAAGACGATCATTGACAGAATTTGGACGGAAAGCCAAGCAGAATCGGCGCCGCGCTATGTCGCCTGTCCGTCAGTAAAATAGTAAGCTAGACAGAACCAGCTGTGGGCAGTGAGAATGTCATGATGAAAGATTGGTCGCACTCCTCGAGGTTCAGCAATCGGCGAGGGGCGGATGTCCGGTTTGAGACAACTGTGTCTAGTTTTAGACACGATGCCGTTCCATTTGTGGTCAGAACTGATGTCGACTTGATGCCATTAGAGCTTCCAAAGGAAGACAAAGAAAATTTCGATTTTGTACTACCTACTGCAAGAGCTCGTAGTAGCTAGACTGGCAATTGAACGCCTCCATCCTCATCTGAATCACTGCTGGGACTTTCTAAGCCATCGTCAAATTTGAAAAATTCGCCGTTAGGTGCCTCCAATTCGATGTTATTTGGTTGAACCTCCCTTGATTCGTCCTGTATCGAGCCTGGAGAAGTCTGGTTGAAATGATCCAGCCCTGGGTTATTATCTGCTACCCTTGTTGCAAAAAGAGCTCCTTCTTTGTGCAATTCTGCCTGCCCCGTCTGGGTGGATATTGTAATTCCGGTTACAGAGTCTGGGTGCTGAGCCTGATGTCCAGTCTTCGCATCGAGTTGGAGCAAGATCTCCTTTCGAAGCACCTGATTCATAGTGTTAAGGATGTCTCGCTGATGATGCGGACCGATATTGCCCATAGGTGTACTGAAATCAGGTGGTCTCCAATTCAGGTATATCTTATTGTGCGATATGGGCTCTATCACATGTGCAGGATGGTGTCGGAAGTATAGGAGACAACAGAAACACGCTGGCTTGCTGCAAGCGATATATGAATCATCGTCCACAAAACGCATTCCGAACCTGTAGAAATGTTCCAGGACTAGAATCTCGGCGTGAATGCATGGATTCCCGCTGGGCGTTGCCATATTCTCCTGGAAGCGATGGAAGACCTGAAAGCGGGCGTCCAAGACTGCAAGAGCTTGCTGGTAGTGATTGAGCTGAGGCGCATTTGCTGGCAGCATACGAACCACAACATTATTTGGTCTTGTCAGTTGATCGGGTGGAGGCATAGTGGCGTGTGGGAGGACAGGCACGCCACGAACTTCGCAATTGTGGAACAGATCCAAGAGCCTTGGTGCGCAGGCGATTAACGTTCCAGCTGCTCGAAAATGATGGCCCAATCTGCCAATGTAGTGCCGGACCATTGCGAAGGCTGAATATATAGAGTCCTCGTTGCTTCCGTAACTTGGCTCTGCGCCGAGTCGAGCTAGGACTTGCATGTAATTCGATTTACGACTTGTATAAGCTGAAGAGCAGAGGTCCACCGGAGATCTCGTATATTCCCAACTTTGAAGCCATTCGATGAAGCCACTTTCTGTGAACCTATTTCAGCTACACCGTAGAAACTTTGAGTTCCACGTCTGAACTCACCAACCACTGGTTCCGTCTTGAGAAGATGAGAGACGCACCTTCGAATCAGAGGCCTCAAATGACTTCCGTACTTCTTGACTCTTGGAGTTGCGAAATGAATACAACGCGATGCCAGCTCCGTGTCGAAAGAACCGGTTTCTGCGCGCATCGCTGTACGCATCACCTGTTTCAGAAGTGAAGCCAAAAATTCAATGACTTTTGTCGTAGAGCCCGAGTTGGTCGCTACCCAGACTATTTGCTTCTCCGGTGTACACTGCAATCCAATTGCTGTCACGGTCCGGCCACCTTTGTCATAGTCGCACATGTACGCTAACTCGTTGAGAAATATCCTCCTCAGGTTTGTGAGCGGCATGTAGGACAGATGTTTACGAGAGGGTATCAAAGGCTTTGCAGGTTCCCCTCTGGTGCGCCCGAGCGTATACAACAGGACAAGAGGCTCGTAGAAACGGCCTAGTAAGCGTTCTTGTAAGTCAAAGCGAGGTCGCAAGCTCGTTGTGGATCCTTTTTTACGCTTCGGCATCGCGCAATAGACTGCAACGGTAAGGCGTGGTCAACCAAAGAATCTCGTCAGAACATGCGTTGCAATGGGGCAATAGAGTCAAGTGATGTGAAGATGCATCATGGCGGAGGCACCTTTTATGTCGGTCGTTCGTGTGAGCCTGTTGACGATCATACATAAGTGTTCCATCGCTAACATTGATTTCCCGCCCTCGCGCATGGATGTCGCAGAAGTGGGTCCGAATGCGGTAGCGCGCTGCGAAGCCGGAAGCTGCGAGCATGCAAATGGAGTGCAGGGCACCAATTCACCTACAGGTTATTCAGCGGTGAGCCATGCAAAGTGGGAAGCTCAGTGCTGCAGGGAACAGTGCTAGACCAATGGGGTCCCTGGGCATGCCCTCCGGAGCTGTTGCTGCGAGTAAGACGCAATACAGTAGATGTTGAGCTCTGCGTTGAGAATTCAACTTTGCGGAACGGCGTCAAGCGGCTGCAGCACTTGCAGTGAGTTAGCTAATAAGAGAGCGGTCTTGAGGAGTTGGTCCCGCTTGGCTCCATGTTACGTATCTCCAGAAAAGCTGGTCTCGTTACCCCCTAGGAAGGTCTATGCTGTGTTCCTCTTAGGCAAAAGAGCTAGAGAGTCGCAAGGAAATCATGATTCTTGAAGCAACCAAAACGAAATGAGACGCTGCGTTCGAAAAGCGCCTTCGATGGACGGCATGCAAGTACTTCTGGGATCGAGCAATCAGCGTTCAGCAGCAGATAAATGCAGAGGTTCTCGAACGTAGAAAGATCGAAAACCAAGTGCATCATTACATTAAGAATACACACAAACATGGAATGGCAACAGATAGCGCTAGATATCTATTCCGAGTGCCTCACATGCCATTTGCGAAGCTCGATGTCTGGCGTCTCTTTTACTACTCGCCGTAGCCCGGAACATCTGGTCATCCGCCATCGCAGAGACCTGCCAGCAGAGCGGTGCTACCGATACCTGCCTGTCTACCCATCTCACGTCAGCCCCACTTTGATCTCCATACTCTTTCAGAGCAGTCGTGTAGCGGGCACGCTCCATGGGAGTATTTCCATCGCTAATGGACGCACTGTTCGTTGACTGTCGATTCGCTCCTGCCGGTGTGCTATACGACTGCATTACCGGACCAGGGGGGATCGGTCGATGACGACCTTGAACGCCACCTTGAACGATGGAAGCGAGGCGCAGTCGTCCTTCTGTATTGCTTTGCAGAAATGCTGCGGCAAGCCCCGTAACAAAGGCTCGAAAGTAATTCACATGTTTCTCGGTTTCCAGGAAACAGGCCTTGAATGACGATGTCGGTTGAATATGTTCGAGCTGTTCGCGATATGGGTACTGAAAAATCGCTTGAACCAGGCTCTCCTGTTGTAGAGTCAGTATAGTTCACTGATTGGCATGTTCACAGCTTTACATCCAGATCATCACTGTTTTGAGCGACCGCAGAATCACGGAAGATCTTTTCTGCGAGCATTTGCTCAAAAATTCGTTTGCCAAGCCAGTAATAGTTCTTCGAAATAGGAGGGTTTTTGTATGTATCGAACAAGTCCTGAAAGTCAGAGCCGTTAAGCGATCCTTGCTTTGGGGTTTCCGAAGTATCGGTGTTGCTTGTTAATGAAGACATGGCTAACGAAGGCATCTTTTGGGCTCCAGCAACGTTAAAAGGTCGATGCCACATTAAGCCTTCTAGGTTTCTTTGCATCGACAGTAATATATATGCACATAGCTTCTCTCGTAACCGAACAGCGCACCTTGAGGTTTGATGACAATCTGGTTCTGTCGTGCACTAAATCCGCGCGTGCAAAATTAGCGTGCAGAGCTGCAGCAGTGTCATTGCACTTGCACGTGTCCTGCGGTCTGACGAGTATCTCGACAGAAGGCTCAGCGATCATATCATTGCAGTGTTGACTGTGACGACTCGGTCTTGCAAGATCACTGTAATGTCGACAAGGACAGCAGCTTCTGGAGAACCGCTTGCTTTCGGGTATAAAGTTGCAGCTGTGACATGCACTGTTTTGTGAAACGTAGCAGGGTATTGGAGGGGACGCATTGGGATGAGCACACCTTCCTGTGGGTAAAATACAACTTTGAGCCAACGCTTGTGGGTTAGCGCGTGCACGTGGCATCCGCACACTCGTTTGAAGCATTTTCGTATAAGCCGACACAGCCCAACGGTTAGTGCTATTTGACGCTAAAATTCCACGCTCCTTGGTAGCCTCCATAGTACATGCTTAGCCGGAGAGCGCTGCTGCCCTTCTTCACTCGCTGGTGTGCGCGACTCGCCCTGCATTTGATAGCGATGACAACATGGGTGTCGCGTCAGCGTTGCGACGCCTGCCTGTCGCTGAGGCTACCTTTTGGGTCCATTGGCACAAAACTACTTTACGCGTCTACCCATGGCCGCAAGGGCGGAACAGAAGCCGTCTGTTGAGTCGATGATGGCAGCGGCGCCATAAATGACTTCCCAGGAGCACAGGCAGGACTACCAGGCCTAGAACGAAAATCACAACGACTCTTACCACCATCGCCATGATTCTGTAGCCTCTTCGACCGGCTCAGAACCCACAGATGGTTTGGCACTTGCCGCAAAACGGATCTCCTGCTCGAGAGCTTCCCCCTTAACGAGCTGAAATTCCTTGTCTTCCCGCAGCATCTTTTCGATCGCTCTCCGAAGCTCGCACTCCAGCTCTGCTTGCTGACGCCGGATCCGCCCCATTGTCTCCACGCTTCGAGACTGTAGCACGTCCTTGTTTCGTTTAATCTCATCCACGGCGAATTTTGTCTCTCGACGTAACTGCGCGATCATCTCGCCGCGAATGTCATTGTCAAGCACTCTTGCGAGCGATTCAGCATCAGCCAGGAAAACTTCGATCTGGTCCGCAGTCACTGGCACTCTGTGTACAGCGATATGTCGGATTTGCGCCATGTCTGTGAGAAGACCAGATAATGGCTTGTCGTTAGTTCTGATGGCCTCCTCTGACATCTTTCCCTCAAAACTGGCCATGATCTTCAGCCACTCATTGAGCTCAACACATTCTGCACAGGTCCACCCTCGCTCTTGTAAGAGATTTGGCATGTTGACAAGTCCAAACTCGTAAGACGCTTTCTCCAGAATGGTTTGAAGCTCATTCATTAACAAATGCTGAGTCCTCATTGCCAAGTACACAGGATATAGTGACGGCAGACAAGCAGTAATTTCTGCGTGCGACATTTTGTGAGAGGATGTTATTGTATCCGTACCTGAGCTTATTGTTAGCCTTCTACGACCCTTTGTACGTATCTGTAGGCCTATGGCTTACCAGAACAGTCCATCAGCGAACAAGCGGATGTCTGCGTTCGTTGGTGATCTTCTGCTGCTCGTTTGTGGCTATCATCCTCCGCTCCAATGACTTCCTGCCCGGGATCGGCACGACCAGCGCTTTGGGTAACGGACGCTTCGAACAGTTCGGGAAATCGCAGCTTAGCCTTCGACGTGGACTGAAAGATCTTGTCCTCCAAGAGACGCTTTGCAACATTCGCGACATTTTCGAGGTTGTGCTCCTGGACCAGTGCTGTAAGCGCGGCGGAATTCTGCAACCGAATCTTTTCTTTGATTCTCTTTAACGCTCTCAGCTGAGAATCGCCAGCAACAAGTACATGTCGGAGTGCCATGTATACTGCTCTCTCATCAGGTTGGATTGGTGCCATCTAGGCAATGGGCAGCCAACTCCTTTCAGGTTGGTGTTACTAGCAGACGAAGACGGTCAAGTCGCGGTTTTCAAGATCTTGCGGACACTTGCAGAGGTTCAAATGAGATTTCGACGGGATCCTCAGGAGCGAATCGGGCGATTGGTAAAGAGCGTTCAGGTCTTTCAACCTTAGGTAGACACTCTCATTGCTGTGTCGCAGACGACTAGGCGTCGCACTAATGCATATTATTCAAGAGCTTATTTATGTCATACAACCTAGGTAGAAGGAAGGCTGACACCAGCGTGAAAGGCGTGCAGATTGACGGGCGTACTCCTTGAGCACGTTGTCTATGGCGAGTGTCGCCGCCTCGATTACGTCCAGATCGGAACTACTGCAGATACCGGAGCTCTGCGGTGACAACATCGCATTCATATATCGAGAGCGTCGTAGAGTAAGCTAGTGGCACTGTCGGCTATCAGAATGTTGCTGCGCTCCTAAGTTATTTCGAAAATCGTCGGTCAGCATGTGGTGCGTCTGCGTGCAATTACTCGCCTTTCTGGCTGAATAATATGCTTTCGTGGCCCAACACCTGTCCGATGCGACAGGAGCAAGCAAGGCCTCAATGCCGGATCTGATTGCGAGCTAATGAGCACTAGCTATAGAGACTCTATCCGGGCAGGCCACACGTTTGCGCTAACTCTCCTTAAGCTGCTAACAGAGCAGGTGGTAGCCAAACTTGCATCCGTGCAGGACGTCACTTGTAAGTCCTTCGAGTAACCGGGAGATATTTAGTGGTCTTCCATTTTGCTCGTTTGCAAATAGTATAGGACTGAACTCATAATTGCCTAAGGTGTGTCTTATTTGCTTCTTATTTTTTTGTAGTTTACTTATAGTCTAAGTTTCTTCGTGCTATCGTCTCTAATATCTATTCTCGTGCTTATAAAATTACTCTATATAAGTAGAAGTATAGAGGATACGCTATCTCTAAGTAGTCCGAGTTATAACCTAGCGGCTTATAAGAGACGTTATTTAATACTATTCTAATCTATATATATTCTTATATATATACTATAACTATAAAACTAATATAGTTAAANTTCTACTACTTTTAAAGTTAGATTTAGGTTAGCTAGATTTCGTAGGTATAGATCTCTATAATATATATTAGAAAATAAATAATTAGCTCTCTTATAATAGTTTTAGCCTAATAGATAGTAATAGCTCGAATAATATCTAATTTTTCGGTAAGAGGGCCCGTTAGTATATAGGCCTATTTATACTCGATACTAATAAATAGTCGTTTCCTCGAGCGTAAGTTCTTAATTATACTCCTTAATATAAGAGTTAGCCTA